CTTTATGCCATAGGTTAAATGGTGTCAGGAGCCAGCCCTAATGGCTGCGCGATGGGCTGGGAAAGGCAGGGAGAGCTCCGTGCCGACTACAGCAGTGTCCCCAACCCTGCTCCGGCAGCCCTCTTGCACCCAGGGCCACAGCTCCGCACTTCCCTTTGCTGGATGGGGAATAGTGGCCCTGGACGTGACTGTGTCCAGACGTATCCCTGTCTTGGCTGTGGAGGCACTGATCTTTGCAGAGTGGCTATGAAGTGGATCAGGAGGGTCTGGGTGGGTCGCCGAGCCCAGCAAGCTGCAAACTCGCTGTAGACTTGAATCACAAATGGCCGATGGCCACCCTGCTCCACCTGCCTCCACCCACCCTCAACCACAAAATGTGTCCCAGTCCCCTGAGTAAATCACCCCACTGCGGAGGTCAGGTCCCACAGCTGCTGCATGCCTTGGGCAAAGAGTGAGAGAGCTCAGCAACACATCCTTCACCCAGCTGGGGGAAATTTGGCAAATCAACCCTGAGGTGGGACTTAGTAGGAAGCCCCAGTCCACAGCGATGTGCTGGGGCATGGAGCTCCTGTAGATGAGCACTGGTGGTCATGCTCACTTCACTACTTTCCCCTATCCAGGTGGGTTTTCCTCTACGAGAAGGGCTACCAGTCTCAGGACAGCATCGTCAGCTCGGTCTCAGTGAAGCTGAAAGGCCTGACACTGACCAACGAGAGTGTCCTGGGCCCTCACATCTGGGATGTGGTGGATTATGTTTTTCCACCCCAGGTAAGGAGGCAGGGTGAAAGGGTTTGAGGGTGTTGCTTTTGTGCTGACAGCCATTCTTCCCCTCATGCTGGGGTACAGATGGGCTCCTCGGTGCAGGGTTTCCATGGGACTAACCATGAAATGGTGTCCCTGTGGTGGAAAGCGGGTTGCTCCTGCCACAAACCTCTGCCCACATATCACCCTGGGGGAGTGTTCGGTGCTTGGGACTCACCATGGGTGATGGGGCATGTTTGAGGCTGCCCTCAAAAAGATCAAGGCTCTTTCGGTGCCTCCAAACGAGCATCTCTGGCAGCAAGGGGGTCATCCACTGTCCCTGGGGCTGGTGGACCACAGCTCCCCAGGGCCACCACCAACTTCCCGAGCAGCGGAGGAGGAGGGTGGATGACCCAGCCTTGGGGAGAAAGGTGCTGTCTGCCTGGACATGCGCCGGTGCTTTGGGTGCCCTACCCCTCGGCCCAGGGACAGGGTCCTCACAGAGACTCCATCAGAAAATGTCATGCCAGCTGTGAGCTCGTTGGCTTTGTCTCTGCAGGGAGACAGCTCATTTGTGGTGATGACCAACTTCATTGTCACCCCTGGACAGAAACAAGGAACCTGCCCGGAGGTAAACACAGTGGCTTCCTGCAGCTGCCTCAGCGTCTGTAGTTCAGGGGGGTTGTGGTGGTGGCACTGAGGAAGGAGTTTTCTTGACCTTGAGAGGTTTGGTGAAAGCCTGAGCCTGGCCCCATATTATTGTTCCTGACTTGGGAGTGCTACGTGAAGGCTTTTATTCTGCTGAAAAACAGTCAGCATCCATTTAAGTTTTCTTCCCTTCGAGATGATCAAGCAAAGCAGGCTTGAGGCTTGAATAAAAGCATCTGCCTGGAGTTGAAAAAAGAAATTCCCCCTTTTTTCTGCTTAATCTGGACAACCTTGGTTGGGAAGCGGCGTGTGGCCGAGGCTCTGGCTGCAGCCAAGCAGCATTTCCCCCGAGAAAAATGCTGCCTGGTGAAGCAGGAGGGACAGAGAGACCGAAAGCGCAGGGTGTGATGCTGAGAGGCGGCTGCCTGCTTTCTCCAAACA